GCCGGCACCGGCAAGCGAGTGGGCTCACAGGCAATGTAACCGTCTTTTCTTAAAAAGCCAACGTTTCAGGCCGCATGCCCTTAAATAAGGGGGTTACCGCCTTTCTGCCTTTTTAAGCAGCTTATGCTATTTCAGCGAGCTGCTCCCTCGCACACCCCTCGGGTTCTGTTTAGCCAACAATTCTCAGCTGACTCACAAGAAGGTCAGAAGTCAACACATTTTATAAATAATAAATGCCGAGCCTATTTTATTTGCCTTTTTTAACCTGCAGGGTTGATATTTTCCAAGTTGAAACATCAAAAACCTATTTTAAAATGAAATTAAACCCGAGATTCTCATACAATCGCCTGACACCAGTTGACACTTAAGGGAAACACCAGTTTTACAGGACCAGTAACACAACGCCATGATGTCTGGCAACATTTCCATGCTATTATTCAGCATATCTATGTATGTAGGGCTACACAAATAGTACTTTAAAAAAGCCAAGATACAATCTCTGCCTCAGTAAATCTGCAGTACAAAGGCTCGGTCCTGTAAGATGCTGAGTATGACAACTCAAGCCTATACTTAATGCGTTATAAATTCAAAAAAGTCAGCGAAGCACTTAACTTGATAAATATTATGTACACATTGAGGCATCCTGACTGCCAAAGCGGTCGGAACCGTATTTCTATACGTTAACCCTCCCTTATATTGGAAACAGCTGCATGTTTGCAGTGGCAAGTCCTGATTTGGTTATGACAGACAACGGTTAGGAAAGGCTTAGTTCTGACGATTTGCTTCTAAACATCTCACCTGCTAGAAGGTGTGGAAGGAGTATGTTATTTAGTAAAAAAACAGATTAATAAACTAGCTTTTAAAAAATGAATGTTTTAATATGGTACTTGATCCAGTGCTAAAAAAAAGGTTTGAATTTCGTTTAGAACCTCTTCAATGGCAAACGCTTACCAAGAGTCACCCACTCCGTGAGACGGCTTTGTGTGCCAGGTATGAGTAACGGAACTCGGGATCAGAAATACCCTAATATGGCAGGTAGCTAATCTTTTTGCCACCTTTTTCTTGCCAGCCGACTCTCAAAACTATTCCTAAAGTAGCAGTAAGATTACAGACTTGAGTAAGTACAATAAACTGTTTGCTAGCATTTTTTTTACTGGCAGACTACCTAGAAAGATCCCCAAATTCCAGGAATTTATAGTGTAATGCCACCACCCTTTTTGCATTATCAGTTACCAGTTAGAGAACAGTATCGGGAAGCAAAGGTCTGCACGGTTAGTGCTTCTTCAGCAAAGAACAGAGTGTTCTGCAGGAAAAGGACAGATGGTCTTAAACACTAGCCGAGTATGTTTTGTTTACATTTGCACAACAGTCTAAAAACTCCAAGGTTTTATTTCTTCACAAAAGCAAATACCTTATTTAAAAGCGGGTAATTTCATTTGTTACTAAAATTGGGGATTTTTTCTTTTATTTCTCTGACTCTATCTAGTAGGTTAGAGACAGTATCTTAATTATACGGATTAATGGCGTTTTTGGAGAGCCAGCATCTGTCCCCCCATTACTAATTATTGAATTACTGTAGCTCCTGCAGCAGCTACAGGAAACCAGAACTGTATTGTGATGTTTGCAGTGGATTTCATGGGCACTGGCTTTTCTCACTTCCTCCATTCTCAGGCTTGTTGGCTACATGGGAACTATGGTAGTGGATTAGTCCATCTGCTCCTTATCCCCCCCAAAACGGTGACTGGTAACAAACACTCCAGAACACATACTTTTTTTTCTGGGCTTGCCCTCAGTGACAGCAGATGACTGCTGTTTGACTTGGAAGAAAAAGACATTACTGTAGCAGTATGTTCTACACGACAAACCTGATGATGAAAAAGTGCCAAATGTCCGTAAATCTAGTTCAGAACAAGGTCGCTGACACTCGCCCCAGCTCACTGCTCTCCCTCCGGCTGTCAGCAGTGGGAAGCGGGGTGCAAACACCCCTAGAAATTCCAAGCTCTGGGGAGGGAAAGAAGAGGTGACACAAATCTCACAGCCACTCAAGCCAGATCAAACCCATCTGCGTTTTTCCATGACTTCCTACAGATCTGGAAAGGCCTCTTGCGCCTCAGGGTCAAGCTCAACCTGCCATCCCTTCCCCTCTTTGGCAGAACCGGGGCCCTACATACTGCAGGCTTGGCGGCGTTACGTGGTGGCAGCACTTTGTGTGGGGCGGAGGTAGAGAAATGAGTTGAGGTGCGAGACTTCTCTCCACTCAGACTTGTCTGTACTCACCAGTCCTGATCACAAGGGGAAGGCTTTTGCACTCCCACTAGCAAACGCCCACAAGATGCACAGGAGCAGGTCTGCGGCCTCCAAAGGTGACCCAGCACCAAACACTGGTGTCAGCTCACGCTGGCTCTGCAGACAGGGCCAGGCTGCCCGCACAACAACGGCCCCTTCTGGGACACCGCCTGGCCCAAGCTCTGAGGGGCCAGCGTACCTCAGGGGGCCGGGCTGGGCCCGCAGATCCCTGAGGCACCCACGCAGCCCAGTGCCGCACCAGGAGGGCTGTGCACACCTGCTCACACCCACCAGGCCCCCGGGGCCCGGGCACACGGCCGCAGACAGGCCC